GGGTTTGTGCCCAGGAAACACAACAAAAATTCGCAGAAAGCGCTTGAGGGTGAGGCACACTTTCCAAACTATTCTACAGTGGCCTTACTAATGTGCTCTGCATCCCCGATGTTATAAAGAAAACTGCCGTTTGCAACAAATCGTAACGCAACACAAAGCATCTGCTCGGATGTAAGAGCACGGCCACGATGGGTGATGTGTCTGATGTATGGGTGGATAAGATTATTGATATATGTTATGGACTCTCTAGACAAACGGTACCGCTCAAATAAAAATACATAGGGATATGACAAAAAATCAACTGAGGTAGGCCTATTTAAACACCCTTTAAAAAGGGGCAGAGACCCGGAGAAAACTCTGAGTTTCCCGAACAAAACCTGCTCCCAACCAGGTTACGTTCACAGAGTAAGTTGCCATAGTAACTGACTCTGAGTTTAGATTACCTCTCTTTTTGAAACGGGTTTAACTTACCCCGCTTTCACGGATTTAAGTTACTTCCGTTTCTGAAACCGAAAACTCTGAGTTGCCCTCATTTCGGGGTTAACAAACTCTGAGTTTCGACAAAACCGCCTTCTTGAAATAGGCCCCAGGTCATCAGCAAAGGAACAAAGGAGATGAACTAGTGTTTACTGGGGTAACTAATCAGGCAAGTGGAGACAGGTGTGGTGGGTGTGGGAGACAGAATGAGTGGCAGGGCAGAGGTGGAGGGAAAATCTGGGGGAACTGGAGACTGGATTCAGACTATAGAAAGGTCCAGAAAGAAACAGAGCTAGAAAACATGCAGTAAAGACAGAACCATAACTCATACTCTGACATTTGCTCACAATTTTGTGAAGTGGGTGGAAAGATTGGGGCGGTACGGTGGTAAAGTGGTTAGCACTGCTGCCTCACTGCAAGAATGTTCTGGGTTTGAGCCCGAGTTGACCCGGGGCCTTTATGTGTGGAGTCAGCATGTTCTCCCCGTGCTTGCGTGGGTTCTCTCCTGGTACTCCTGCTTCCTTCCACAGTCCAAACACATGCAGCTTAGGTTGATTGACGACTGTAAAGAGTGCCTGTAGGAGTGAGTGTCAGCCCAGTGTCAGCTGGGATTGGCTATTCAGGATAAGCAGTATAGGTAATAGATAGATGGGAAGATTTTAGTCTAACTAAAAAACTGAAGTGAAAAAAAATGATGTTTTATGGTGGGTTGTAAAATCACTACTCCCCACCAGCATGTTGTTTTTACACTTTGGCTTCTGTATATATTCAACAAATGAATCTGTTAATTTGTGAGCTATGGAGGTGCTGGTATGAAGAATTTGGTAGCATTACACAAAGCCAGGCTAGCTGTTGCCCTCTGTTTCCAGTCTTTATGCTAAGCTAAGCTAACTGGACATACAGATATGAGTGTGGTATCAATCTTCTCCTCTAATTCTCAGCAAGAAAGCTAATGATCTCAAATGTCAAAATAACAAATGACAAGCTAATGTTATTCACTAAATACTGATTAATTTTAACTTTGTCTAGGCATCCGAGTCCAAACACACACCAGTGGGTATCCAGTGTGAAGACAAAGAGAAAGAAGAAAACATCTCACCCAGCGACTCTTTATCTCCAGTGCATGTGGGTCTTTACAGAGATGATTACATGTGTCTGCCCGGCCCCCCCATGTCCAGGTCCACACAGGATCTCGTATCTCATGGTGATGCCAGCACAAACACACACAGCCACCACATCGCTGAGCTGGACCAACAGTGTCCAGACACCACACCGTGGCCAGAAAAGCCTGGCCTCGGCGATCCCACCGCCAGGGACCAACCTCCAGCTTACACCTGCGGACCTTTCACCTCTTGGCCTCAAGGGGGCAACATACATGCCTCGGGGTACTGCCACCTCCCCCCGTCTTAAAGAGCAGCCTGCAGTATGCAAAGGAAGAGCACATCAAGGAGGATCCATCAAGCTTTTTAAGCAGATATGACAGTTAATCAAGCAGTGAATTCTTGTTTTTTGTATAAGCGTTCTATTTTATTTCAAGCTCCTCCTTCCATGTGGGAAAAAAACTACACACCTGTGTACCTGGAGGAGGGCAGTGATGAATCCATGAAATGATGGACTGCAGTATGGCACACACATAAGTTCTATCTCTAGATTTCTTTTCAGAAGCACGATTAAATAACAAGATCCTCTTGTCATCTTATATAATCCAATACAATTGCCCTGCAAGAATGTTTGTGATGCTCAAAATGTGTCATTTTCACTGAGCCTGAGATTCAGTCTTCTCATTAAATTATGATAATTTACTCATTCTGTGTAGTTTCCCCACACATGGTAAATGGACTGTATTTAATCTAACCACGGACTCTTAAGAACAGTGCTGACATCAAGCCTTGTATGACTTTCTTTCTCACAGCTGAGGTAAGAAGTGAATTATGTAAACAGCATTTCATGGGAAAAGCATGTACATCTTCTGCCTGCTGGTGTTCGCTGTGTCGTGTACAGTATGCATGTTTGCACAAAGGTGTGTGAGTTGAGACCTTTTTGTCAATGTTGTAGCCCAAGTGTTGGTGAATGTACCATATGTTATTTACTTCACATTGTGCTGATACTGCTGTGGTGGATCACACCAGTGGTGTCACTGTGTGTAGGTTTTCTGAGGCCTGCAAAGACATGATAGAGAAAACATGTTAAAGCTACCTGTGAAACAGGAGCCTTGTCTTCAGGAATGTAATATCTAAACAATGCAAATACTGCACCTTGCCTATGCGTAAGCTTTACCTTTAAGAAAATAAACTTAATTTTGATTATTTAAATTAACAGGCAAGTTAAATGCATGTTTTTCCAGGTGTCCATCTGTCTGACTACTGTTTATTATCCATTTTTTCTCTGTGATGAATGCAGTACACTAGATCAGTCTCTGTTCTGCTCACGTCGTAGGTCATGTTCTCTCTGCATGTTACCTCCATGACACATCACAGAATCCGTTTTTAACCATTTATCACTCTATAACATTAATACCTTAAAAAGACACATTTATATTTGAAACATTTTAAACAATTTTCATACTGTACTTGGCCTTTTAACCAAATTTATTTGATTATTTATAACTTTTATTTAAATGCATTGCAGCACTTTCACACTCTTTGCCCATTCATACTTCCAAGCACAGGCACAAATTACTGGGGAAGCCACCGGGAACAATCTGGGGGTTGGTGTCTTTCACGTCTGGACCAGAGAAACCAGGAATCGAACCACTAACCCTCTGGTTAGAAGACCCACTGTACCCACTGAGCCACACTTGCCCTGTGTATACAGTAATTAGACAGTGTTTTTCTCTCTCCCTCTGTCTCACTCACCCATTCGCACACACACACACTTTCACAGTGTTATCTAATTTATTGCTCTGTTTATCTGCAAATCAGTCAAACCTGACATGTCTGTGCACAGTATTCAAGGTCTGTCCATTTATAGAAGCGAGTCTGTGTACTGTATGTACACTATGTAGTGTGTATGCATGTATGAGGCTGCAAAGCAACATTACTGTAACACATATCATGAACACAGTGCTGGAGCAATGCAGTGAGGTGTTTCTTTTCTCTGCAGGGCCATGCTGGAATTTCAGGCATGCTTATATCAACTTCCTGTGTTTTCAGCCCATCGTAAGGTACAACTTCCTGTCTGATGAGGCTGAGGAGCAGTTTGAACACACACTGAGTCACGGTGCCCACAAAGACACTAACGTGCTTGTCTACTTGGCCTTGACCAACACAGTGGAAGCTGAGAGGAAGGTGATTTGATGTGTTTTCCCAGTATTCTTGACTTTTTCAGATGCTCTGCCTCTAAAAACAGGCACATTCCTCAGTCACAGCCACCCTCAGACGGCTATTGTTCCCTGGAAGTGGAGGATGCTTTGGTGGTGTGAGTGCACAAGTGAGTGAGTGCGTGTGTGAGTGTTTCAACATGTGACCAATTCATATCCATCAGCAACAAGACAAAACAACAGATAGGGGACAAAGGTGGATGCTGATGCATGTGGTTGATGAAGCGGTAGTTGTGTGACCGCCTGTGTACAGCATGTCCCTGTCGTTTGTCGTACATAAAAACAGGAAAATAAAAGCACTGGAAGGTGTAGGTAGTGCATGGCACAACACGGATGCTTGTGTAACCTCCTGTTTGAAGGCCTCCTGTTTCCTCACCACCGCACATCAGGGAATAGAGGCCAGCCTGAAACACAGACAATAACTGTACGGCAAAGACACTGAGGCACCGTGCCCCCAGAGACACTAACGTGCTCGTCTACCTGACCTTGACAGATGCAGTGGAAGCTGAGAGGAAGGTGATTAAAAAAGAAACCAAACAACAACATGATGAGAGAAGGACAATATAATCCCCCTGTTGTTTGTTTCTTTTTCAAGTTCCAGTTTCTTCTTGCCGACCCTGGACAGGATGAGATGAGACGGGACTGATTGTAACACAAAGTCATAAAAGCACAGGTGGAAATAACCTTGAAGCACATTCACAGCACACATGTACTTACCCACACTTGTTAACACATACATTTTCCATTTGATTTTCTCTCCTCTAAGAGTCTGAAATTTGCCCTCATCAACAACACTTTTGATTCTTTAGATGAGAAATAATATAAGTGCACATGGTCTATAACACCAACTCAATAGAAACTGTCGCTACAGCATCAAAGCATGTCAGTTTAAAGGAATTACACCTAATGACCTTTCCACTCTTTACTATATATATCAGACTGAGGCCATGGTTTTTTCTTGTTGCACTACATAATGGAATAAAACTTAGACTGAGTTAAGTAACACAGCAACTGCTGCTATTTTGTGCACATTCCCAGACATCCACCACACTTTTAGATGCTCAGTGTCACACAAACAAACTGGTCCATCACGATGCCAACAGGAGGATGATTACGACAAGCCTAAAAGATGCCTGAGCAGAAATGTGTTCACTTTGGTTGTAGCTTTCATTGTAGCATACACTGGAGACGAAGTAGGGTAAACTGTGTTACACATAGCAATAAGCACATGCACAGCTATGAACAGTTTAGTTCTTTGTGCCCTGTTGTATTGAATTCTGAGTTCTTAGTGTTTCAACAAGTTTTACAATAATTTATAAATATAAAAATGGTGCTGAATAAAATGGCTGCATTCTCATAGAAACCCAAGAAACAAGTCACTAATAAATACCAGCAGTGTTAATATATCACTTGATTAGACTAAAGCTAAATAATAATAATTGGTTGGGTCATGGCTTGTGATGAGTTTGATTTTTGTTTAGTCGTTCTTCAGGCCTGGGTTATGATGGGTCATTATTGTATTGTATATTGTTCCATTGGTTGTGTGCTACTCAGGCAACAGTGCTGTTGAGACCCAACAAGCCATATCATCCTTTAAGGTCAGTCAGTCAGCTCTGAACCTTCCCAAGTCTTTAGTCACAGTCCCTGGTCCCTCACAGACACTCCCACACTGTCATGGTGCTTAACCCCTGTGTGTGTTTGTCACAGTCAACAAGCCTCCACGCACATCTCTCCGCTGCTCTTATTTGAAGTCTGTGGAGGGGAGGGAAGCTGTTCAGACACCCGCGGAAAATCAGGCATCCCACCTCGATGCTGAATTTGGAGATAGTCTGCTGTTTAGAAATGGTAGGTCTGTGTGAGGCTGACAGTGGGGGCAACAGGAAGTAATGCAGGAAAATCTGAATACACAGGAATCACATACAGTACAGGAGGGTTTAGGGTGAGATGCAGATGCTTGCCAGATGCATGAATATGAGCTCAAATCAAGATTTATGCACATTATGTAAGGACAAAGAACAAGGCTCTTTAAGCCCCTTTAGACCATAATGACATCTGCATATTACAAACACAAACCTCAGGACATTACCAGATGACATTTTGACTCCGTAATTAGCAACTGTAGTTGTGTAGCTGAGCTGGAGGGTTTTTGCAACCAAGAGTCAAGTGTGAAAAACAAACCACAGAAGCGAGTGTGTGCCAGAGTTCACCTTCACTATATCAACCCCCACCTTTAATCTGTCTCTATTTGCAGACTGAATAAACATCACTGTGCATCACTGGGACTAACACTCAGTATGGGCTAAGGCAGCAGATTCTCTGGAGAGCTGAGGTGAACAGTAGACACAATATACCAAACAAGTTGAATAAAATCTGCCTGGCCTCATGAAGTGGTAAGAAGAGCTTGTGATGTCAAACAAAAGTTGGGCTTTATCCTTGTATCTTATGTGTCCTTCACTTTGTTTGCTGTACTGCAGATAGGCTACACAGCTAAAATACAAAAAGCTAAATACAAAAACTCTTATTAGACTAAAAGAATAATCTGGGAATTTAGCCTCCAGCCTTGAAATTGTAAGTGAACTGGCACTCTATAACTGTGAAGGCCTTGTACTGTTAACCAAGTTAGTTTTTAGCTACGCTAGCAGCATCTGTCTGTGGTCTGTAACCCCCTGACTTTAACTCTAGTTTCACCATAAGGTTGATATTTTTGACTTTTAACTATGACTTCAGAACTAGTGGGTGAAATCTGTTGCACACATTAACCCCCTCAACACTTTGGTTTTTTATGAAATACCTGCACTGGCATTCCCCTCAGGCTTTGTGTTTAGTACTAGCAAATGTTAGCATGCTAACAAACCTAAAGATGATAAACACAGTACACCTCATACCTGCTTTGTATCACCATGTTAGCATTGCCGCTGACAATGCTACCATGCTAATGCTAAGTAGGCATGATGTCAGCATTGTCACTGCTAGCATGCTGACAGTAGCACTTAGGTCAAGGGACCGCTGTGCCTAAATACAACAGGACTGCTGTTGATTTGTTAACATCAGTTTTGCTTCATTGGTCTGTTGCTCATCACCCGCTGAGCAGCAGCTGCTCGCAGAGTGAGTTCCTTGAACTGCATATTCATTTTTTCATATCAAAAGTTTGGTCAATGTTCAAGACTGTAAAAATGAATAAAAACAAAGTTGATTTAAGCACATTAGCTACTTTTACCAGTATAAGAATAGCATTAGGCGGCAATCATAAACATTCCTTGGTTTCATTACTTTTCATAACAAAACAGACAAAATCAGTAACAGTTGTAAGTTGACAAAGAACATACAAGGTTTAAATAACTTAAGATGTCTGGCTGATTGTGGATATAAAACACCATCAGTGTGTTGCTACTATGGAAATACAAAGGACACAAAAAAATAATATCTGCATTTGCAAAGGCTGCTGCTCTTCTTTAGGTTATTAACTATGGAACTGACTTCCATCCATCCATCTATCCATCCATTTTCCTCTGCTTATCCGGGACCGGGTCGCGGGGGCAGCAGTCTAAGCAAAGATGCCCCGACTTCCCTCTCTCCAGACACTTCTTCCAGCTCCTCCGAGGGAATGCCAAGGCGTTCCCAGGCCAGCCGAGAGACATAGTCCCTCCAGCGTGTCCTGGGTCTTCCCCGGGGCCTCCTCCCGGTGGGACATGCCCGGAACACCTCCCTAGGAAGGCGCCCAGGACTTGTTTTGACCCATTTAGTTCCCTGTTAATGAAAGTCCAAAATTTACGTGTTGAAGATTAATTAAACAAATACAGGGGCAGTTAAATAAAATGCTATATGTAATATGCAGGTGTTTCTTTCTCGTCCTCCCCGTGTTTTAAGGAATGTGATTGGTGGAAGAGTGCGATCTATCACAGAGAGAAACACATTTAACATGTGAGATGCATGACAGGAGTGTGAGTGTAGACACAAGCCCATACACACACACACACACACACAAACACACACACACTGCACAACACACATGCAAACACCTTTTTGACACTGTACGATACTGGGAGGTCATAGTTTGAACCACCCAGCCATCATGACAGACAGAATCTCCACCGGCACCTTGTTTGCAGTATTTGTATAGAGAATTACTCCACAGTAATGGTAAAGATAAATAAATAAAACCATAGCACACAGTCAGGACACAGGTATGATGCTATCACCTCACATTCAGATAGCACCTTACACCTGTGATCAAGCATAAAACATCTTGTCTTGTGACATCTGTTTAGTTCCAGTGTTTGTAATGAGTTAAATCCAATTAAATATGGTTTAAAAAAAAGAAAGACCATCACTGTTTTAACAAGCTAATAAATGATATCAGGCTTTGGTATGGTTTATCTTCCCAGCACAGTCAGTGAGTTAGTCACACACGGAAAATGAGTCATTTGAGTCGCCATTAGTTGTTGTTGCGATCTATTGATGGTCGTCTCTAAGATCATCTAATTACAATAGAACAGATCCTTTTATGGCACAAGAGTCATGTCCATTTTTCTACTAAATTCACTCCGTAGTCCAGTCTGACTGCTGTTATTACTAAATCAAGTTGATACAAGTGCAGTTTTCCTCTGTTGATATCAAAACAAGGATCCAGGTCGAGTTTTGAAATTGCACTATTCTCCACAGTTGTACAGCGTTGCAGTTCCAGTCCTCCAGATGTACTGTGACTGCGCACAATTTGTCTCCGAGTGCCACTTCATTCATACCAGCAACTGACGCTGTCGAGGCAAGTTTAAAAAAAAAAAAAAAGGTCTATCATTTATTTCCATCCCTTCCTCCATCTTCTCAGGTGTAGATACAGTTTCACCAGGCAGTCATTAGTAGTGTTACTGAGGAGGTCTGACAGCACGAGCAGGTTATTGACAAGTGAATAAATACTTCTATGAAGGGAGTCGCTTTGCTTCACCTCTGACTTATCCACAAAATCCACTGTGTGTCCCTGAAGGAGAGACACAGGAGGACATGCTTTAACGCACTATGGCACGCTTATCCACAGGTTTCCATTCAGTGATTCCAAACTGACTCTGGGTCATCATTTATTCATTCATTAATACTAATAAATACTCTGAACTCACCTGCATTTATTTCAGGTCTACATCAGCATTGCTCTCATAGCTGCCTTGCTGATCTGTTTGCGATTCTTCCTCATCCTTTTCTTTTTTTGGTTTGGACGTGCTGGGGGTCTGGCGCCTGCTTGAGCCGATGGCTTTCGCGTGGTGGTTGTAGATGTTGTCTCTAAAAATGAAATGTACATATCACAGAACATTTTAAAATAAGCATAAAAAGAGATGCTATTGCATACATACTCTTAAGAAGAACGTGAAAGTCATTTTCATTTTAGTCCGACAGGAAACCAAACTGTTTGGTTCTTATTTGTGTTATACTGAAGCACCATCTGTCACCTGGTGTCTGTGTTGTCGTTTTCAGACGATGAGGATGTTTCCCATGCCGACTGTCCGTCTCCTTCTCTTTCTGCCTTTCCTCCTCTTCTCGTTTCAGTTGCTGCTGTCTCAGTATCTCCTTCTCCTGGTCCAACCTCTTGTGGAGGAGGAGCAGCTCTTTTCTCTCCTCTTCCAGTTTTGCCTCCTCCATCTCTAATATCTGCTCCTCTGGTGTCTCGTTGTCTCTCCGTCTCGCTGGATCTCGTGGCTCTGGATTTGGCTCCTTGGTAGGCCGATAGCTCCCAGGTCTCAACCTAAGAGTTTCCTCAGCAGGGCTGAATTTGGCTTGAGGATTCTGGGTAACAGGCTGAGAACTACCATTCGTATGGCTCTTTGAAAATTTAGATTTGTCTTCTGGCCATAATGGGTTGTGTGTCTGTGTGCCTTCACCCTCACCCCTGTTTCTCTCATTAACTTCCCTCTCAGTGGTGCTGAGCAGCAACCCATCTCCAGCTTCCACCAACTTGTTCTTTACCTCAACACCAACATCATCCACTGAGGAAACAGTTTTGTTGCCATCTGAGATCCTCCCGTGGACCTTCCTGTCCACGTTCTCATTTTGGTCTCGAGTCCCATGGAGCCTGGTGGAGTTATGTGCCCAGTGCGGGGCCAGGAGAACAGCCCCTTCAGACTGAGATGTGTCCTCCCCAGCCAGACTGTACCCATCCCCATCCTCAGGGAAGGTGTCTCCTCTGGAGCTCCAGTGCTGATCCAGGACATCCTCCAGGTGGGCCCTCTGGATCTGCTTCAGCTCGTCCCACTGATGGAGCTCATCCTTGGAGTGCACCTTGGCCTGTGACAACAAAATTCAACATTGTCTCTGTTAGATTACAAGTGGAAAAAAGGAGGAGAAGATGGTGAGTAGACAGATTTTTACTGCTATTTTGGAACATCAGTGGGGTGCACATACTCTGGTGTGGTTATTGCATCCCCACCAAACAGCAACATTTGTACCGTACCTGTCCCTGCGTCTGTGCGACTCCTTGGCTGAGGGTCTGGTTTCGATGCTGGTGGCTGTGCTGCCTGCGAGATGATTTTTTCTTGGGCACTGGGACACGTGGAGCGAGCTGACACCGGCACTCCACGTGATCCACCACTGAGACCACTGCTTTAGCGTAAGTGGGTCTTTTATTTATGTATTCAATCTTCATGACCTGGAGGTGTGAGGAGGCCCGGGGAACATCAGTAGTAGAACAAAAACACAAGCAATTTAACATGTTTTTAAATGTCCACATCTCATCTAACTGAAATTCCTGGGATGTTAAGAATGTGCATGTTTTCATATTTACAGTAAGTGTCGTGTGCATGTGGTTGTTTACCTGCAAGTATCTGGTGTGTGTGAGAACAGGGACACACTGCAGGGTCTTGGTGTTGCAGCATCCGGAGCAGCGCTGCACCTCGACACAGGGCGGCCATAACAGGAAGTTAGCGTTGCTACGGTCCAGCATCGCCCTGGTGACCTCAACCACCTCAGTACGGACTTTACACAGAGCCTGCTGGGCCGGCTGGGCATCTGCATTGAAAACACTCACATTTTCTTTGTGTACATGACTGTTAAATCAGTAAGTAAAGATGACAAATAAGGCCTCATTTGTTTACATGTTTATTTAGGAAACCCAATTTCCTGTTTTATGCAAAAGACAATCATCTCACCACCGACTATTGTGCATTAGTACCACAGACTGACTGTGGTGGTCGCAGAGCAGGAACAAGCAGGTGAATTTTCATGTCAAACTCATGCATTTCAAATGAGCACATTAATTACAACTTCCTCAAATTGGGCTTTTATTATTGCAGCGTGTGAGAGAAACATTTCATTGGATTCACAAAGGTCCGTTGTTCAGCGAGACTGCTCTGCTCCTCTGGAGCTGACACACCAGGACAACTAAAATGAAAGGATTAATGTAGAATCATTAGCGTCTCCTCATGCTAGATTATAGAGTGAGGTTTAATAATTTGGACATCTGTTTTATCACGAAAGTGAAGAAAGATTAATGGGAAGGATTTATCAGTGCCACTAAAGCCATACTTGTCACATTAATCAGCTCCCAGGCTGATTGAACACAGCCCCAGGCCTCCACTAGTGTGGATGGAGCACGTCTACATTCATGGAGAAAATCAGGAATCCTCCGTGCCAGCACTACAAACTTCACCTGATCTGTTCTTGAGCAGGAATAGATCCATCTTTATCCTCTGAACTGAGGCCTTCATTACCAACTATGCCATGGGGATGCTTTTTGTAAACTCTTAAGATACTACTGTACATGAAAGTAATAGCGGTCATGTCTCTTTTTTTGTGATTAACAACACTTTTACATTTTAACTGCAACAGTCATCTCAACAACAGCCCATAGGAAGAGAAAGAAGGGAGGGGGGTTAGCTCACTAAGGCTCCTTGGTAGTCTGTGGCCTCCGTTGGCTGCAGAAGTCTCGTCCTCCTCATCTGTGACACAACAATAAACCAAACATGTGATCGGTGCAAACATGGCAACAGATTTATGAACTGTTTATAGCATGTGGTTTATATATAATTCAAGGCCCTCTAGCACCCTCTGCATGGGTAAAGATCCAGTCTTTGCAAGTAGGGGTGTAAATGTGAGTGTGCACAAGTCGTTTGTTTATTTGTTTGTTATCTGCTTCTGTGGTCCTGTGTGGAGATGTTCCTATTCTGGCTTTAACAGGCTTGATCCCTTCCTCTTTGTAATAACCACTGACTGCATATAAAAAGGGTAATAACACATCATCTATATTCCCTTTTGAAACAATGTAAGTGACTTGTGTATGTCTTGTGGATATAAGGGCTGTATACCTCTGTAATCCCCCCCCAAAAGGATGTTTAAAAAGTGTCATCTGCAAGTTTGTAAGAAAGTTTGTGTGTTATTAGAGACTTCACCAGTGTTATGGACTAAAGCACCATCTGGGACACTATGGTTTGGTCATAAGATGCTTTAAGCAGTTACATTGGGTGATAATATTAAAACACACTGTAGTTCTCTTCATAGTTAAATGCTGTTAAAGGTAAAGTAAGAATGTGATCAGAGCACAGCTGTGTTCGTATCCATGAGAACATCCCCATCAGTATTACTACAACGCTCTGATCTTTACCTACGGAGTCAGTGAGCAACAGCAGCTGCAGGTCCTCTATGGACGAGATGGGGCTGTTTCTAACCAGCTCCACCAGGGCTGCAGGCAGAGGGTCACCCTGCAACACACAAGGACACACACACACACACACACACACACTAATATAAAGACCAGAGACTTTGGACCATTTCAGAATGCGATTATGAGAGAAAAGCAAAAGATGGTAGGGAAGCGTTTTGACTTTTTTTCAGCTATTTGAAAAGTTTTATCCTGCATCGCATGTTGCAAATTGATTCCTCTGAGGAAATTTAACAACACTGTGTCACTTCTACAGCTACTATGTACAAAAATGTTTTAAAAGATACTATATCCTTTATCAAAAATAAAAACCCACCACTGGAAATTTGATCCTGCTGCCGCTCTCCATTCGACGGGCCTTACAATAGAACAGCTAAGTTTGTGATGCTCTCTGAGGTCGTGAAAGATTATAAACACTTCAGTAGCAATGAAATCTGACTGGATGAGAAACACAGAATTGACAGAATTGTAGATTTTTTTCAAAGTTGTCTATACTAACTGGTTATGTGCTCAGTGCAACCATATAATATGGCTCCTCCATGTGGCTTTTATAACTCTTTGGAAGCCAGTGAAGTCTTACAGCAGAGATATAAAGAAAATCTGGTTCTGACTCCACAGGAAACATGGAGGTTTTTACTTTTCTACTGGGATTGGTTGATAACAAACGATAAGCTAACACCAGCTTTAAACAACAAGCATCTGACCAAATATTTCCACATTGAAAACCAAGCAACAGCTCGACACGGTCCTTCTATGGACTGACTGTGGGTTTAACCCCCCGGTCATTAATGCACAAGAGAGTGAGGGGGTGGCACAAGTATTAACCAAAGCAGACACACAATGGTCACTAAGAGCACGGTGAATGACTATTGGCGTTGTCTTCTCATCTGCTAACATTTAGGGGTCAAAGGAGCCAGGAAGGAGTCAGGAAGTGGGGGAAGGAGTGATACGGAGTGGAGGAGAGAGGGGAGGTGCATCTGGGGAAAAAAAAAAGAGGGATAGTAGGTGAATAAAAGATGTGTTAAATGGACAGGGATAAGACCTGGGTCGAGACATGTCCTCAGGCTGGTTGAAACACTGTGGACATGCTTCATCTGCTTCGCCACCTCATGTGAAGAAGGACCCAGAGAAGATGGGCTCAGGGAGCAAGTGTGATCTGGCCCTGTCTTTGCTTTAAACAGAAACTGTCTCATAGTCCAGTCCAGGTTCTGGTGAATAACAGGTTTTGGCCAAAGGAAGCAGCCATCCACGCATGAACCCGTGTTCTCACCCTGCCCGCGCTGTGTGTCACCGACTCTCCCCTATTGTTGCTATTGTCACAGAGTCCAACTCTCCAGCAGGGAAATGCCTGCTTTATTACAATCACATCTCTTTTGCAGAGCAGCCGATGCCCCTGAGGAGTCGTCATGACGACTTCCCGTCTTCGCCAACGGAGCGAACCTGCCTGCTTGTCTAATTGTGTCTGACGTTAACTATAGGATGTGTGCCTTTGTTCACAGCGGTGCCTGCTGTCAGGACGGTTTGGATCGAGACAGGAAATATTAAACAAACACTTTGGTTCCAATAAACACAACGGATGCAAACAGACAGAATATGTAAACACATATTATTAATGTCCAGTGTGCAACTATGAGGGACGAGCATTGATACATTCAAGATTATATATCAGTTTACTTAAATAGTGAAAACTCACTGAAAAAGGAGTCATCTAATTAAGAACTATACCCACAAGCAGAGCTGCAACTAATATTTAATGACACAATTAAGTGCATATCAATTAATTTCTCTATTTAGTCTGTAAAATGCCCATCACAGCTTCATAAAGTCCAAAGTGATGTCATCTAAGTGACAGAACCTCAAAGTCTTCAGTTCAATATGCAGTGAGATAAAAGAACAGCCACGTGTGTTCAAAAAGAGAAGCAGAGACAAGAGAATGTTTGGCTGTTTGCTCGAAAAATAACAAATGATTATCGAAACGGTTGGGAAACATTTTTCCAATCAACTACCAACACATTGTTTCAGCTTTACTCACAAGGTCTAATGACTAATGCCATCCTTCCCTTAAAGCAGCACTGAGCCCAGTAGTTGCCCATAAATGTCGACTCTTCTGTCAGACACAGGTGACGTCAGTGACTCTGATGCTAACCGTCACTCCCCCATCTGACCATCCAGCTGTATGTGGAGCACGTGGCCTGTTTCAAATAATGGAGCTCTGCCGATGCAGCAGAGAAAATGACGGCTGTTACATGAGGAGTTATGATGGCGGCCTACTGTGAATCTACAGCAACACAGGAGCCTTTCTGCACTTCTTAGAAACCACGCTGTGCAACAAAACTGCTCCTGTAACCTCCCTCTTTTTTCATCATGAGACTTTATTTATCATTTTCTGGGTGGAATAAAACCCAGACTTTGACACAATCCAGTACTCATCACCGGAAGCGCGCTGCCATCCCCTGAAGGCCTGTCGGACACACTGAGGATTGCCAGGCGCAGGCAGCGGCTGCAGGAGACTGGGGAGGAGAGGGAACACCTAATCGTACATAATTAGGGGGTCGAGTTTGCTGATGGTGCAGCAGCGTCAGGACGCGTGTGAGCTTTCACATGTGCTCTCTGAGGATACGCCTACACAGTGCAACATGGGAGTAAATGTGACTCTAATTAATTCCTTTCTGATGATAGTTTACCTCTGAGCTGGAAAGGGCCTGGCACAATTAAGTGCATAATGAACTGGTGCCAGATAAAAGGGAATGTCTGGCTTCCTCTCGAGTGGTCCACAGATAAATGTCTCTGCTCACTGAAAGTAGCACTTCCTAGATTAACAGGCTTTTAAAATATCACTCACTCTCAAGTCTGTGTTTTTATGATGTTGTTTTTTTAAAGGGGCATGTTTGAACCTACAAACTCCATGATTTCACAGCTGCTGTCAAACAAGACCTGGGGAATTCCTGGTCGTGTACCTCAAAGCCTTTGTAACCGTCTCCCTCTAAAGCACTTGTCCTGTCAAGGTTTTCCCTTTACATGTGGTTGCTACAGCAGCCATTAAGTGAGAAGATGGGCTAATGACAGGAGTGAAGTCCGTCCATCACCTGCATGTGAAGTAGCCATAGTGGATTAGACAGTATCATCAACTACACTGAGTTCAGTGAATGAAAGGAGGGAGCAATGAACTTGTAAAACCAGTTCGAAAGGTTTCTGATTTTACATTGCCAGTTCACATCCTGCAGAAACTTGGTTTTTACTTTACTAACCCATTCCCTGGGTGGAAGGAAACAAGGTTGCACCCTCTTTTCTGACTCATTTCATTGTCCACTACCCATGACTGACTTATTATCTGTGTGTTTAAACTCCATTTAATCTCACAAGACCCTGGCAGTTCATCTCCACAATGACCTGCCAGGGTCACAGATTCTCTGTGTAGCTGAGCCTCGTCTTATAGACTTCATATCTACAGTTGTCAGCAAAAAGGTCAATGAACATGATGTCAGCTATGGCCACGCCTCGCTTGACCTAGATAAGACCCTTAGTTAAGTCTTGACTTCCTGTTTGACCTCCATCACACTTGTCCTGCAGCCATATTTCACTGCTGCTTGTTCGTTGTGCAGGTTTTAAATTAGAACAGATTTGCATCATAATAAAAAGCTGGAGCAGAAGAGTATATGTGGTCTGCTGGAGGTGGAAAGTCTAAATCTGCACTTAAGCAACCATAAAATCAGCAAGATAAGTGATTTACATTGTGCTGATGCATGACACAGTCTGTGTGATAGATCTGTTTTACCCTGTCTCTTCAACTGTGGCGTCCCTTGGTAACAAACATGTGGTCCCTGATGTTATGGCTGGTGCACACTGACTGATTTGAGGCCCTGCTCAACATCTGGAACAGCATCCATTAATCCATCACTTAACCACGTGGAGCATCCAGCTATGAACGCGCCTATCGTGGCACTCTCTGTCTCACCACCACGGAGGACGAGCTCTGCATGTGTCTGCCCCTGGGCGTCCATTCATAGCGCCAGTCACTAGGAGGAATAATTGTTTGTGCGCGGATCCCATCGCCTCGATCGGAAGCAGTAATGGAAAGAACGAAGCAGGTGCATTAACTCCAAAGTTCTAAAAGAAAAACCCTGCATCTGAGAGTCGTGCTTCCCATGATAATGTAGGTCAGGAAGAGAATAAAACACAATAGAACTTAAGAATGCTAAACGTAAAAGCGCACTGATTACGTACTAGAAGCAATTGTTAGGAAATAGCTTTTACCATTTTAACAGTACAGCTTCAGCTGATCGCTGACCTGGCTGATGACTGTGGTATTCTAGACTCTGTCAGTGCTCCTGTAAAGTGTTGTAGAAAGATAAACTGGGGGTTCACAAGTTGTGATTGGTGCTGAACCCACCTCGGCTGCGCCAGACCGCAGACACGCCGCCAGCACCCCCCCCAGCAGCTGCACCCACAAGCTCATCTTGCTACCCAGCCTCGAGCCTCTTCGACGGACCGGGCATTTATGGAAGCGCGAGAGTCCGTCTCTCCTCAGCGGTGCGCGCGGGCTGACAGCGGCTCGCCCTGCGGAGCTGCGTGCGCGTAAACGGGCTATCCTCACGGTTGCTTCTGCAGATATCCAGAGGAGGAGAAGAATAACAAAGCGCTGGCGTTCGGTCACCCAACTTGTACCCAGCTCCTTCCTGTTGGATAAGTAAGACACCTCCACGTTTTAGCTCGGGCGCGTCCCTTCTGTTTGGTTCACCTTGTCCACAAGTGCGTTTTCGGGCCAACAACCAGAGTGGATAGAAATAAATTTAACTGAAAAAGACTTAACATTTCCGAACAATAAAGGTCCAGATTTCATAAGGCAAAACGGCCCATGAGACTCAAAGTTCAGATTATTCCAGGGAGTTCACGATTTCTTTAAGATATATTAATTAAAAATCCACTTCTCTTTTCCCCGAAGTCAAGTCTCTTTTCTTTAACCGTGGTATCAAAGGCTGAGCGTCTGGATAACGTCGCAGGTCAGGATGGTAGTTCGCGGTCCTCGTCTTCCAAGAAGTCTTATCAATAAGCAAAGCGCTGTGTGCGCCTCAGCCCTGGACCTGCCTGATTACGCAGTGGCACTGGTGGTGGCGGTGAGGAAAAGTCTGCCCCGGTCTACTCAGCAGTATCTCTCTCCCGCCCCCTGCCTGAAGTAATAATATGCACGAACAGCAGCAGCTCTGAGCAATGTTTCCTCACTTATGCAGATGTTCCTGAGGTTGGGCCAATTAAGTCCTGTGGGTTTTTCTGTTGATCTCCCTTTTGTTTTTGCCACAAGAGCAGGTCTGAAGTTTTACAGCTGGAAAATCATCAGTCGATCGACTTTGAGGATGTAAACATGTCGTTTACCACCAGAGATGCTTCTTCCACACAATTCATTGGTATTAATATTTCAATAACACAATATATTATAACATCTAACCATTTTACTGCACAGTGACGTTTACTTTTAATGCATTTAATATATTTAAGATGCACAACATGTAGTGGAGTACTCTTCCATTGTGATATTATTATTATTAATACTATTGCTCAAAGATCTGGATATATTGTCCATTGCTCTTTACTTTTTTGTACACAATGCACCTACTCCATACTTTTAAAAACTGCTTTAGGTGCTCCTATTGAAACTGTGGCTCTGAAAGACAAAATATTTAGTAACAGTGACTGAAGCCAAGTTGTCACATTTGCATTTATGCAACTTTCTACTTAAAAGTTACAAATGTTTTATCAACTCACACATGTTTTGTTCATTGGGTTTATAAAAAACACACTAAATTCAGCCGGCTGTGTAACAGGTCTATTGCTGGAGAGGTCATGGGGATAGTTGCCATGCCAACTGACTCCTGTTAGTACCTCAGCATCACTGCTAGAATGCAAAAGGTGTCTCTAAATATCACAGGAGTTATTCTCAGGCTCCTGACCTTTCAGTCATCCATGTTTAGGGAACATTTCTGAACAATGCCCGACGATAACTCTGCATGTTCAAACTCAGACGACCCAGGCATGAAAACAACATATCAGACGGTCGGGCTACAGTAGTGGATTTCAAACCACCTATAATATTACATGACAGGGGGGGGCACAAATGTTTTTTATGATGCAAAAAAGCATTTAAAAGCCGAAGCACATGAAAGAACAAGGCTCCTGAATCAAGGCATTTACATTTTCTCAAACTGGAGCTGTGCAGACTGTTCCAAAGTCTTTTCTTCCAGTTCAGTCATGACCCAGTGAATAATAGGATGCCATTGTTTTTCTAACAAGAGTCAGTGGAGGAAACAGCATGAGCTATGCATCTATATTTACACTGCGTTTCATGTTCATGTTTGTTCAAAGCTGCTGGCTGTGTGGACGCAACATGTGACACAGTGGCGATGCCAAGTGGAAACAGGCCAGATACACTATATAGATGTACAAGTTCGTTTGTGTTGCACTTGCACTTGAGCAAAAATTCTCCTTGTTTTTAATGATAATTCTGGACAATTTGCTTTCTGAGCGAATGATTAAACATGAAGTAAACATCAGCCTCATTTATTAGTGACTGTGTAAACCAGTAGCCGAGAGTAGCCATGTTTGCTGAAAAGAAAATTAAAGAGATGCTTTTGTTTTTCCACTTTCTCGCCCGTGTTCATTTTAGATTTGTACACAAAACATATTTCATGCTCAATCTGTGGCTCCCAAACACAAGTGTCTTGTGTGTTTGGAGATTAAGGGAAAGGAGGATGAGGAGAAAGAAGAGGAGGGTGAAGAGGGGGAAGCAGGTTCTTGAGTTGAGAGAGGGCCCTGCATTCATATCACACTATAGCAGGTACTCTCTCTCTCTCACACACACACACACACATGCACACACCTGTGGCTATAAAATCTCACCACAGTCCCATTCAGAGGTATCCATCCATCACTCTCCACAGAGCCTACTATACTGTACCTGCAGCCTAATGCTCAGCCTAATGAATACATGCATCTTAGGAAGGTTCAGTTCTTATACGTGCTTTTTAAAATGCTCTCGCATGCGCACAAGCACATCCACTGAACACACAGAGACTGTGTGAAATTACACATGAAGCACATTCACACACATTGGAGCACAGTGTTGTGTGCAGCACCCACTCACATATTGGCTCACACACACACACACACACACACACACACAGTCCTGAGCTGACAACGGTTTTCAACCCTGAGCGGAGGACAGAGGCCCCTCTATGTTTAACAACTGAGTGAGAAATGACAGCGCTCGCTCAAATATTTAGGAGCTTTTCAGAAGATCCAGAGAAGGTCACAGCACCCTGAACTAATCTTCTACTGAACAGTGACGGCATTTCATTTCATCAGTTTTCCATCGCTGAATGAAAAGTCTCAGTGGTTAATTTGACGCAGTAATCGCATAGCTGGATCCCCACCCCATGTCGGCTTTTCTACAGTAGATGAAAAACACGAGTCTACTGTATTTGTGCTATACAAAGGGTCGTACGTTTGTGTGTGTGCACAGCTGCACTTCCGGCTGCTGTCACATACATCAGAGTCAAGAGGGGAGACGACTGACCGCCGATTAGCCGCGGGGGCGGACTCCCTCCCACAGGCATCTAAGATAATTGAGGATGATGTAAATCAAATGGTATAATGGGACGTTATTAATTGGCCCCTCAACCCTTGTGTATGAACTCTCGCTCCCAGGTTTCCCAGTTCCACGCAGGAATGTGGCTCAATCATACCAAAAGGAGACACAGGTGGATTCAGCAAAGGCACAAGCACGAAAATGCAAACATGCACCGTGTACAGCTGCATAGAATTGTAACAATACATCTTAGATTTGAGACGTATGAGTTGGATTATATTGATATCTGTGTGTATTTTTCCTTCCTGCACCATTAACCCAACAGGAATGAACTGAGTCTGAAAGAGCTATGATAGCTCCCGGTATTCTTGTCTCAGCGAGGGCCTGCCGACAGCAGTGAACGCAAGAGTCTGAATGAGAGAGAAAGAGGGAGACTGGCAGTGAAGAACTGTAGGAATGCACTTGACTGAAACAGCGATGGAGAGAACAGAAGCTGTTGAGAAGGAAAAGACAGACAGAGAGAGGCACTGAGATCTGAAACCCAGAAAAGACAGAAAATAAAAAGACCGCTGCCAAAAAGGGTAAATATGGGTAAAGAAATATTGGACCACATGTCTGAGAGATCGAGAAAGCTCAGATCTGGACGTTAAGGAGAACAGACAGTCAGGTAGTTCCTCTCTTCCAGGCTCCGAGCAGCTCTGGATCAGAGCCAGCTGCAGTCGCTCTGCTGAGTCTTGTTCAGCTCTCACTGCTGATATGGCCTCTTTCAAATTGCATCCTTACCTCTAAAGCCATCTGCACGCTGTCAGACTCTTATTGTGTTAAAACTGAGCCATTAGGACACGTCATCAGTTTGGAAAGTTGTCATGGCTAACAGTGTATCGCTGTATTGTAAAAGAACCCGAATCCTGCATAGGCATGATTCATCACCGATGTGACCATCACAGCAGCTGTGAGTTTATAGGCTCAGGTTTAACAGACTGTCAATGATCAGACAAAACTTTACTGCTCCTGATTCTATTTTCTCAGTTTAATCAATCTGTGCCTAAATGTTTTCTTTCCTCTGGGGGCCAAACCAAACTATCCACAGTGTCAACATTGTGTGTTTTATGTCTGCTGGATGAGCCTGCTGCTGACAGTGACAATATGAAGCCACTAACAGATGCAGTGAGGATGGACCACACCATGCTGCAGAGTGTAAACACCTCCATGAGGAATGCCTGGTTTTGTTCAGCTCCAAGAGGCTGCACACAGCAGCATTCCTCTGCCAGCGTCCCCTCCCTCTCCTGGTTCACAGGGGACTTCCCTGCTTTCTCTTCTGCTCTAATGAATACCACATACTGTACTGTGAATAGCTGTATAGTGATTATTGGCATGCACAGGGCACTAATCAATTCTCATCTCTCTGTGACAGCCTTCACATCATTCTCAGACTTCCTTGGCATTCGGAAAGACCGGAGAGCTGAATTTACAGTCTCATGCATGTCGATCATCAGTCCACTTACTGGCCTGGACAGTCTGTTTCCAAAGCCAGTCTGCAGTGATCAGTTATAAACATACAGTAAACATATGTGCATATTAACTTAAAGATAAGCTGTGACAATTTGAGGTAAAGGGCTGAAATGCAGGAGTCATTTACAGATGGCAGAGTAAGAACATGGGACAAAGTAAACGAGGAACACAAGGATGACCCGTTTCAGACAATGTACAGATGTGGGTTCAGAGAGCAGGGGAGGTGACTAGGGAGTGCACGGGATGGCAAGTAGCTAACACAGATCTCCACTCGGTGGCAAGTTCTACTCTAGACACAGGTTTGAGTGTAGTTTGACTCAACTAGACAAGAAACAACTTCCTTCTTTTACTTTCTTCAACAATTAAATAAGGAATCTCTCACAGGTTTCACACGAAGACTTTTCCTACAGTATAACTTGTACACAGGTGAGTAATAAGACAGCTTGATACCACAAAGGAGGTCAGACATGCAACTGACAGACTAAGGAGAGTAACAGAAAGTTTGTCTTACCTGGGACCAAGTACAAAACTGGGGCATGAGGAGAGCATGAAGTCTGGACAACAGGAGAAACCAGAGGCAAGGCGGTGGCAAGGGGAACCAGAACCGAGGGGAGGGGAAAACCAGAGCCGAGGTGATGACACCATGACAATGCACAGAGAGAGGCAAGGTGCTCACACAGGCTAGTCCAGGAAGACAAGGAGAAACAGGTGCATGTAATGAATAAATCATGGGCGGACTCAAGCTGGGGCAAGTGAGGTAGCACGCGACAGGAAATATGTCAGAATAAAGGCATAACACAGGAAGTGACCAGAAATAGTCATGTAGGCATAACACAGGAAGTGACCAGAAATGGCGCCATAAGCAGTGCATGCGATAGTGCTTCTTTCAAGTTTAGTTTTTAAATCAGTCTCTTATCGTCTTTTTTTAATATTCTGTTTTTGGTCCCACTAGCAGGATCGCTCTACTCATCGCTAAGGTTAACATTTGTGGTGAACAGTGAAATGTCTCACAGTTATTGAATGTTCTGCCATGAAGTTTGGTACAGAGATCCTG